ACACACACACACACACACACACACACACACACACACACACACACACAACCACACGACACCTCACATCTAGAGCAATGGTCACAAAGCCTGTTTCTTGCCTGTGGGTAGTCTCGGATACTCTTTAGCCATGGCTAAGAAGCAGGGACAATTGTTTACAGAAGGGTAAACAGAACCATTGTCGAAAGAAGAAAAAGGTCAGCGATAACACACAAAACATTCCAGTAAACGATCACCGCGTCGGTACAAAGTACTGTGTTCCAGGTTAGCACACAAACCCACGGCATGCTCACCAACCTTTAAACCTTCCCTAGGAAGCTGGTTGTACAAGAGCATCGGGGAAGGGACTGTGGGTAGAAATAATTTAGGATATTGTGTTGGAGAGGAAGTAGAGGTGTAGTGAATGCTGACAAACTGTCTCCAGAGCCTAGAAGGAGGCTTCTGGAAAAAAAAAAAAAAAGGCATGTGATCTTCAGCTTGGTGTCGTATAAAATAGTATAAAATACAAAAAACAGAACAAAGCATGACAAAAAAACAAAAAAACAAAACAAGTTAAACAAACAACCCCCCCAAACAAACAAACAAACAAACAAAACGCCAAGACCTAGATATGGCCAAGTAGGCCGAGGTTAAGAAATAAAAATAGAAGTATTTCTTCCTTATGGCTGGAACACAGGTGGGAGGATGGGAGCGAGCAAACACGAGACTCATCAATCCTGTTTGTTTTTCCATCAGAAAAACTGGCTGATAAGCAATCCAAATATAAAAGACTCTTTGTACCAGGAAACAGAGCCAAATACATAGCATGTGGGTGACCAAGAAGGTGAAGCCAGAATGTTCTGGAAACTGCCTCTTAATGTCCCTCTTCATAGTGACTTCTAAATCCCAAATTAAAGAAAGGAAGCCAGAAACCAAAGAGACTTTTCTTAACCTTTTGAAATATGAGATGAACTCTAACACTGGTCACCTTTTTAGAAAATTATATCTAACTGTCTTGTATCCCAATATTCTAGTGGGTCTCAGATATTTCATGTTAGTTTTAAGGCCCCTCACACTCTTAAAGATCTTAAAGACCTCTGAAGAAGGTACTCATTTGAGCAGTATCTAACAGTATTAATCACATTGGAAAACTGAAACAGAATTCAGTAACATTTTTTGTTGACTCATTAAAAGTAATAGTTACAGCAACAAGTGATGTTTTTATGAAAAATATCATTTTATAAATTAAACAAATCAGTGGGAACTCTGACACTATTTTACATTTTTTTGCCAATCTCCTTACTGTTTGCTTTTCCAGCTGGATGCTCCTGTCTGATCCAACTTTGATCCGTCAGTATACACTGCTTTGGCTAAAGTATACTAAGAAAAGTCAGTCTCGTCTCAGACAGCTGTGCACCTGGGAAAAGGGGGGCATATCTTAATCATCTCTTCAGGGGCTGGAGATGGAGCTGAGCTGGTAAAGCGCTCATCAGTTCATCATACAAGTATGGCGACCTGTGTCTGGTCTCTCTGAACCCACATTAAGAAAGGTGGGCATGGTGTCCCACGCTTGTAATGCCAGCACGGGGAAGGCATAGAGAAGCACATTCCTGGCCAGCTAGCCTAGCCCATGGAGCCCACGCCAGTGAGAAACCTTATCTCAAACACCAAGGTGGATGGAATCCGAGGAACCTTCAGGTTAATCTCTGGCCTTCTCTCTCTCTCTCTCTCTCTCTCTCTCTCTCTCTCTCTCTCTCTCTCTCT